TTTTTCTACGTTGCCATTCGGGGTTAAATGGAGTAAAAGAATATATCTACCCTAACATGGCTATAAGGGTAGGCTGCTCAAATGAACTGGGTTAATTGAAGCTAATCGATGCATTCATGCCACTTAATGGTCAATTAGTAGACGGGGAAAATGTTTTATTAAGTCGACTATGGAATAGCATTACTACATGTATGTACCAGGAATAGCTGCATGTACTGTAAACCATGTGTATGGTAGCTTGTAAAATGAACGTTGGAAACCCGACACGCACCGCCTTTGACACATGAATAAATGATATCAAAGATTCGTCGGCCTACATACTACTACTCAGAGCATTGTCATATTGACTGATAGAGGAAGAATAATATTGATAACGTTTGAATTCTGGCTATTGTCATCGATGTGTCTTTACCATCCAAATAACACTTGTCAAACAAAAGAACGGCATGTATCTAGAGCCCATCTTTTAAATGTCTTCCTAAATTCAACTTTAAAAAAATATAATAACACAAATTACACAATTCTAAGAATCGTCAATTAAGAGAGGATAACAACTGATGGTGAAATTTGAAAACATAAATACGATATAAATATCGCTGTTATCATTAGAAAACTATTGTCTTTGAAAATTTTCCCCCCTTTTGTCCTTTTATGACTAAGACTTCACGAAAATGTGAATGGTATTTGGTTAACAATTTATCATTTGAATTTCAGGTATTCAGCTATTATTTTTTTAATAAGACATAATTATACGATACCAAAAACAGTTTTATAACAGCCTTATTTCAATTTTTGTTCCGCTACCACCGATGCAATTGGTATTGTGAGTATTTCCTCCATGAACTTTTTTCATTTTCAATTCATCATATTGTGCACGATGATTTAATTGATTCATAATTATGATAATTTTCAGAATTATTTAATCTTTAGATTTTTGACTAATTCTAATCTATAATGCAAATATTCTGACATTTTAAAAAGCCATACTTAAACTTGTAATACATTAATCATCAAACGAATACAAAAAAAAATGAAAATTTGGTGTCTAATGTCCACTATTAATTCAGTTTTTGTTTTCTATTTCGAGATAACTAAATAAAATGCAAATGTTATTCGGTATTTCATTCGTTCTTAAACAATCATAATGAAGAATTATTTTGTGCAATGATAACTGGTATATATATATATATATATATATATATATATATAAAACACCAGCTATATGTGGATTTATAACACTGTTTATCAAACCTATGTCAAAACTCAAAATATATGTCTATATTCATGAATTTCATTTTAGTGACTTTTCTGGGAAACCGTTCTTTTTGTGTACCAAACGCTAATTGGTCCAACTGTGACGACTAAAAAAGTGATATGTCATATGCTAACTGTCATGATACAATGCCCATTGAAAATGTGAGGGGAAAAAAACAAAATATATATTTATTTTTTTAGATATCTTAAACTACTTTTTGAAATTCAAACTCAATTGTGTTGTAAGAATTGTTATCAAGCCCTAGAAAGAACCATCATGTAGCAGGTATATCATTTTTTTCAAACATGTTTAATTCTTTACTTGCCATTAACCAATTGTTTTTGTATCAATAAATATTTTTTTAAGAATTCAGCAGTTTAATTTTTTTTTTACAAAATATACATTATTTATTCAAACTTCTTTATGCGATTAAATTAATAAGCATTATTCGTCAATCTACTTTCAATGTTTCTATTTGGTCTTTCAATATTTTACCCCTTTTCATTAGTATTTTAAGTATTGAGAAAATGCAGATATTTGTCCACTACCTACAAGTGGACGGTAGATGAAAATTAAAAAATATATATCGAAAAGGAAGGCGAAAATAAATTTACTATCAAAATGGCTTTTTAGCTCTTTCTTGATAGAAACTAAACCAATAAAAAAAAAATAGAATACCAGTTTCAAAGCCAGGCGGAAAATCGATGACTCTTATTGATGTACACTGTAAACACGAGGCCAGGGTACGTTTCTACAAAAAAACTAACGCTTCTCCTTCTCGGCGAAGGAAAGAAGAAACACAGCTCAGGAAGAGCCGGGCTATGAATGGATTGAGAGAAAAAAATGACACATCTTTGGCCTTGGTTCGTCAAATCACGAACCTATATAAACATGCGACAAAAGGAGGCTGTTGCTTCACTCGCAACGACTACAGCGCTAACCCTTCCTCACCACTATAATAATATTTTAAAGATATGATTTGTAAAATAGTGATGATGAAAATCTTAAGCCTGTTGCTTTACCGGGAGATTGCAATGACTTCGGTGCTAACCTGTAACAACGATAAAAACGCGATCTGTAAAATAGTGATTTTGAAAAATGTAAGACCGTTGCTTGCGTAAATGATCGCAAGGGCTGTAAAGCGATCACCCTTTCCACCATGAACAGAACATTCAACATGATCTGTAAAATATGAAGAGCGTAACCTTCATAATAAATAAACAAAAAGCGGAAATGTTATAATGGCTACCTGCTTGTACTGTACGTAGCATAAAGTGCTATCTATAGAATGGATAACAAAAAATTAATCGTCTTTAGAATTTGACGTGTTTCCCAAAATAAGTTGCCAAACGGTCAACTTAAAATATAATTTTTGATTTTAATACATTTAATTGCTACTGTCTTTAAATGAGAAAAATGACAGAGCGAGATAGAAAAAAGAAGGAGAACGAAATAGAAAGGGGGAAAGTGAGTAGTACACATAGGCCAATTTAAAAGACGGCTACAAACAATTATTATAGCGAGTTCCGGCTCCATTGAAACTGTTTCTATGTATTAAGAGAAATATCTGTAAAGTTCAAATAATGGCCAATATATTTAAGCGATTAGAGTATTTAACCGTCCAAAATACCAACAGACTAACACTTTCACAAATTGTCCACTAGGACCTTTGCGAATATTAGATTTCTTACGGATGAAATCCAAGGAATAATCAAAAGGAATACCAATCTTGTATTATCTTTATCAGTTTTGTGTTAATTTGCCACAAATGATAATTATACATATTCAAGGAGAAAAGTGTCGGCGAAAATCAAGAACGAAAGAGAGAATGTCTTGTATGGTATTTCTTTTCTAATTAACTCTACATTTTTGTTTTGGTTAAATAAAAAGAGTCAGCACCTTCATGTAGCTTGTGTAGTACATACACTATAACACTTTCCAGAAAATAATGGCAGAATATTTTCAAATAGGAAAGAGGGAAGATTTTGTATGGCATCTAATTGTTCATCAAATTTAAATCCTAATTTGTATAGTATATATAGTAAACGTTCATGTGAGGTTTCTATTCTTAAAATAAAACGATTATTCCAGAAATAGAAGAAACCTATTAACAGTACTTAACGATGAAGACCTATAAAAACAGAGTGTTACCAAATGAGATATTATTACAGGGGTGATCTAGTTTAACCATTCATTATAAAAGGATGAGTCGAATATGAAGCTTTAAAGGGATTTCAAAAATATTCTTTTGAATTGGGAAATAGCTTCAGAATATAAACAAAGTTATTAAGGTACAGTTTAAAAAAAAACTTATTTTCAGTTGAATTCAGTTACGGTTATCTTCAGGATAACATCCCAAAACTTGTGATAACTAAATATTGAATCTAAAAATAGATAATTTCTTGAAACTTGTATCAACAAAAACGTTGGAGAGAAATGTAAAAAGTAAAGTTAGCTTTTTAGCTTTACCAGTTAGGTGACCAGTCGATTTTGAGTGTCGCGCTGGCAGGCAGGGAGCGCTAAAAATAAAAGAGCAACAAGCAAGCGAACCCGTGCGTTTTGTGTACTAAACGTGTCTCGGCTGTATGTATGACGCATATCGGAAAAGGGAAAGTCTAGTGTGAGAAAAGACGGGATAGAAAGCCAGAAGAAATGAAGCAAACTTGACTGGGACATGCTTGAACTGGCTTGAACTTTCCTTCTGGAAGACAGGGAGCGAGTTCTCATGTCAATAGGAACTTGCTTTACCCGGTTTAGCTTCTCAAGAAAGAGGAGCGATATATGTTTGAGGCTTGTCCTGCGCATGCCACGGGGGAATAACTCACTTCCAAAAGTACAACAAATGCACAACACTCAAAGGAGCATGTAAAGCCCTCCCCCGGACCTATCAATACATATTATACTACAAGTGGAGATGGAAAATACATATCTGTCCATCATGCCTATATCAAATAAATATATAGAATATCAAAGAATATAATTTCAATTCGAACGATTAAACTCTGTAAACGAGATTTAAAATTAGTTTCGAAAGTGATTTCAAACACAATCAATGTCCTGAAGAGGCACTTTTGTTCATTTTCTTTGAAGGTTATACTCATTATATACCTTTAATGAATGTAGCTGCTAAGGGAACTACATCCATTACAACCTTTGCTTGTTGTTGGCCTTCTATTTTTTTGCTATTACTTTAGCTGTTGTACATGAAATATATTTGTACATTTGATTATGTTTTTTTTTGTAATGGTTCATAAATAAAATCAAATTTGAAATGATTGAATTGAACTGATGTGCTTCATAAAATGGTTTAAAGACAGGTATGGTTTCGCACCCTTTACTTGTAGGCAGTTGTAGCTCAAGTTAAGCTCACTTCTCCCAGTTCGACCGAAAGAGACAAATAAAAACCGAGGAATGATTATTGACAAAAACGGGATTTTCACGGCCGGGTTTTACAGATGCTTCGGCAAAGTGTTTCAAGGATCGATATCCGGGCATCGTGGTGGAGTATCAAGATCATAATGATTAAATTTGAAGAGGGGTTACACTAATCATTACTTTTATCTTCGAAGTTAACACGGGTCAATTATGATGAGGTCGTGATAGGAAAGAATACATTGTCCACGTTAATTGTTTCAAGTCTTGGGAAGATAACTCCGCTAGCCAGAGGCGATGTAACAAGAGCATTCGCGATCATTTTCTTCATAACCGACATGACAACAAGCAATACAGAAGACACATCGAAACATTTTTGTTTTTTTTACCAAGTACAAATTTTGGTCTATTGTTCGCAAAACAACCTGGCCATTCCATCCATTGACAAGGCGGTGATATAATAATAATGATAAACCTCAACATTTTTTTCTACAAAAATGAAATTGCACTGTATTATTTTGTTGCCGCGGCTGTTCTATATGTTGTCTCTTATAGTACCACCGCGGCAAACTGACATACACGACAAAGAAATATATGATTTCTGAAGGACCGTTACACAAGTATTACGCAGTTCAATATAACATAAAAACACAAATATAAAGCGTCTAATATAGACGGAAACAACATTAAATTATCAATATTTTCATCGGGGAAATTCGATTATTATAGCGTCCTTTCACACTTATTTAAACTACTTATATTTGGAAAAAAACGACTACGTTTAATTTAAAAAAATATAGGGCATATGTCAAACTGTATTTTATAAATTATTCAGAAGAATTTTGAATTCGAATGATTAAAAACCGGAACAAGTAATAATGGTAATAATTAGGTGACCTTTATTTGAGATTGTACTGTCAACTGAAACCAGTTTTCTTTCTTCTCTGTGACTTAAACAACTTCTCTCATTAAACATCTCAAATTTTACTTTTGCCACCTCATGCGTGTTTTAAAGGAAATATGGCACAAAAAGTTAGGAAGAATAATATTACTAATAATACATTAAGTTAGTCTTATATCTTCAATGAAATACAGAATTAAAAAAACGCCTACACGCATTTTGAACAGTTTTGAAAGGGATCATGAAAATAGAAAACTTTTGCTAAGAGAGCTCAATTTTGTTTGTAAATACCAAACTTTTATAATTAAATGGTTTTTGAAAGTCAATTGATTGATCAAATATTGAAGGGTAACTAGATCGTGAAGAAATACGGTTCGGAATGAATTTTAAAACAATTTAATGAAAATAGTGTTTTTTTAAATATATTTACCCGGTTTATTCCTACGGCAAGATATCCAGAAATAAAACCAGATTAATACATCCTACATCTGCTATATTGTATTAAACTATTTATTCGACAATAAAAATTATAAATGAAAAACAAGGGAATTATTTAAAGACAAAAATACTCTTGGGAATTCCTTGGCAAAAGTTTGCCTGAAAGTTAACCAAATGTGAATTCGAAATAGAATCGAAAGGAAGAAATTAAAGAGAGAATAATCCGAAAACAATTTCAGACATCGGAAAAAAAACTTCAGATAATAGTTTCGCTTTGGTTTGTTGTGATTTTCAATCCTTCATCTCATTTTTATCATATTTTTATCTCTCGTATTTGGCGTGTAAACACTCAAAGCACAAGTTTAGACATTGACTCAGAACAAGCTCTATCACAAATGAGAAAAAAATATATAAATCTATTTACTCTTGAAATCCTCTAAAAGTGCGAACATTACTACAGTTTTATTACAGGATGTTTCTTCCACAACATATGATAAGTTAACTCTGAGTTTTAGTGGGAGTTCCTTTTCAATTTGCTGGTGACCATTTCTCTTTCTCTCCTTGAGATACAATTTCACATAATGACACATAAAACTGCAGGCAGCCTTAGTACTTAAAAAGGTTTTCTTTCTGTTTCACTTGCAAACTTGCCCGTGTTTGTTACAAAAGCCAATATCATTCGATGGTCATTTGCGATAGCATTCGCCCCACCCTGATAATGACACGTATAATTAAGTAGTGGGCCTATTTGTTGGACAAAAACACCACTAATCCCTCCAATATCTGTATTTACTTTGATCACATAGCAACAAAACACAACATTCATATTCATTTTTCTGCATCATTATATTCAAATTGTGACTATATTTACTTTTTTCTCGACCCATAAATTCTCCTATAGCCTTGATAGCACACTTGACTTTGTCTCTCTTTCTCATTTATAACTCTTTTTAGTAAAAGAAAGGAGCAGTGAATACTCCCCCATCTATGTATGCCTTGTATTTTTTGGTTCGTAATAATATATATACAAATCTACAACGTCATATCTATGGAATACCCTTCAATTGAAAAAGTCAAAGCGAGGCAGTGCAACTTACATTGTACTCACAGTAGCGGATCGCCTAGTAGCGTGAGTCCGCGGCCCTGGCCGCCAGAGTTCGGCGTGTGGTATCACCGATTTCCGCTGGATCACTGAAGCCCGCACAGCTCACCTTTTCAACTTTATCAACATATTTTGTACACACTTCTTTTGCGCTTCACAAAATTTCCTGCATGAACTAAACTGAACAAAAGGTCTTTCCGTTCTTCTAAATGTCTCGTTTCAGGTTTGTCCCGTCAGGTAGATGGTCTTTTTTTCACGGGAGATGTTGGAATACACGTTGATTTTTTTGCTGAGAATACCTGGCTGTGTGTTTTGTGCCTCTGAGCTTCTCTTCCCTTTCATCCCAGCCGAGCAGTCACCCTGTATATGGGCAATATTCATATTTCTTTTTAATCTTATTTTACAAAGTTTTTATTGTCTCTGCTAGCGCCAGTTACACGTTGAGGTGGGTTGCCGCGTACATTGGAAACAATCCCTGACTTCCCTGTATTTGAGAAGCTCGAGTGCGGAAGGTACTGGCGCTGAGAATGCCGAGCCCCCGCCTCCTGTGGAAAGATGGCCCAGCGCGAGTGTCGGGTTCATGGCGAGTAGACTCGGGTGCGGATGAATGTGAGGAGCCCTAGAGACTGATAGCCCCGTACAGGTAGTGGAGGTGACGGTCGTAGAGGGTGGAGCGGTACTCCCGTTCAGCAGGCTGTCGATGGTGAAGGTAGCCCGGCTGGTCGGCGAGGTTGTCGATGAATTTGCGCCCGTTATCCCAGCACTGAGTAGACTGCTTAGAGCCCCATTATCCATGCTTTGGTGTGCGGTGGCGGGGAGGGGTAGGGCTACGGGAGGAGGGAGAGGTGAGACTAAATGATAAGGCAGTAATGTGTGTGGATGGTGGGGAAGTCCTGCCATCGCATAACCGTATGCTGGTCGCCCCATAGGATATGGACCCGTCATGAAATGCCCCGCTTCCCTGAAAAAGTCTGGTTGCTGCCTCTTGTAGCGTTTTCTCCTTCTCAAAAAGGAACCATTATCAAACATGTCCTCACTGGCGGGGTCTAGAGTCCAGTAGTTGCCCTTTCCCGGGTTGCCTGGCTCACGAGGAATCTTCACAAAACAGTCATTCAACGACAAGTTATGCCTAATACTATTCTGCCACACGGGGAACTTTTCCCTGTAATATGGAAAACGATTCATGATAAACTCACAAATTCCACTGAGAGTTAGCCTTTTCTGCGGCGATTGCAAAATCGACATCGTAATGAGAGCAATGTACGAATAAGGAGGTTTCACCGAAATCGCCTTTTTCTTATCGTCTGCTGTTTCCGATTTCGAGTCGTCCACTTTCACATCGATATCGTCCTTCTCCGATTCCGCCGAGCAAGCCGACGGTGACTCGCGATCATGGGTCATGTCCACCTCGACGTCGCCGAGCTCGGACCCTGCTGCGTCTTCCGAAGCCGAACCACATAGTCTATCGATACCGAAGCCCGTGGAGGTGGGCAGGTATTTGTCACGCAGGTCCGCGGCAGCTGCGGCGATCTCGTGCCCCACCAACTCGGTCTTTCTACAGTTCCCCTGCTGCTCATTTGCAGGACGGATGTTTATCCCTTCCATCAGGTCGGTGGCGTTCACGATCATATCTGAAGTCAAGCTCCGATGCGGTATGCGATTTGCGAGTGTCGTATAAAGGATCACTGTTTATCCCCAAAACTCGGCGAGTGAAGCTCAACTGAGTTGCTTCTCTCCACGCAGCTCCATAAACTAAAGTCGGATGTTGATCAGAGCCAGGTGAGTACAATAGGCTTGACCGAATATCAGGTAAAGAAGCCGGAGCGAGCGGCGATTCTATATGTCTACCCTTGCGGCCGACTCAGCACCTTCATACTTCGTCACCGGTGAGCTCTCTACTCTGGTCTTGTTTTGAGTTCGCCGTGTCACGTGGTCACAAACGCTTGTCATTTGTCGATCGTTCCTGCTTCATTTACATATCAATGAGCGTACAGGCTAGTAGTGAACGCCTATCCCGATAATTAGGCGACGGGAGATGGCAAACAATGCCGAGCTGCGAATCAGAGCACTCGCGTGGATTGACCAATGATACGAGATGAATCCTCTCCAAGGAGGTGAAACCATAGAACTTGGAGATTTATTTCATCTTCTTCCTTTTTTTTCCTCATGTCCGGCGAACCTACCTCTGTGATGGTTTGTTGACAGTCCCGTAGAGTACACACAAGATCAAGCCAACTGGTATATATACACGATCAACCTTATGTGCCCTGTTGATCTTCCCTTAGACTTTAACACGGTGCCGAGCTTTATTCTTCTTCTTCTCTCTCCTCCCCCTTCTTCAATGATTGCGCCCTCAAACGGTCAAATACGGGCACTCGTCACCACTTTCACTGCGATATGATACTTTACATAGGCATGATAGAAAGACAATTTTTCAAGATAAAACCATCGTTCGGAACAATGTTCATTAAAAAAAAATAACATTATTATAATTTTATTCACATCAAAATCATAAATATTGTTTAATTTTCACATAAGATGCAAAAGGACGAATAATTGTGAGCAGAATATAATGAGAAAATTGATTAATTAACTCTATGGGAATAAATCATCGAGAGCATTAATATAGAAATTGTCATTCAGTGACTTGAGGAAGTTCTACAACTTAGAACTAACTCTAGCAAGTTACGTAATAACTTCCTCCTTGGAATTTGTAAAGTTGAATAAGTGTACAATTTGCATTTGTATATCATAAGCAATATCATTTTATGTTGAGTAAAAATAAGGGGGTAAATTATAAAGCTAGTAAATTATATTGAGCTATGTCCGACATACAAGTCAAAACTGGAAAAGATTGTAGGCTCCCAATATAATTTTCTATCTTACATGTCTCTTTTATAAATGATAAACTTTTCCAGATTCAATTTGCAACTCCAACAATATAACTTGCACATTATTTAATGTGTTTAATAATGAGAGGTCTTTTCCCCCTTTTTCCTTCTGTTTCTTCTTCTTCAATATCATCTTCATCTTCTTATTATTATTCTCCTTCTTCATTCCCTTCTCCTTCACCGTTGTTATTACCATCAAGCGACCAGACGAATAAATACAATAAAAATATTATAGTTTATTTTCTGTTTTTATTTTGATAATCACTGTAATATTTATTTAGTAATATATTCAAAATAACTAAACTTGCAATCTGTCATTGATGAAAAGATGAAAGCAGTTTAAGTAGTTCAGATACAGGAGAGGTATTCATGAGACCTTTTAATTCATTAAACAATAACTTAACATGCACATGTAGGCCTACTTGTGAAAGGCTCGTCAGTCGTTTACTGGAGTTACACATTTTTGCCTAACTCTAATATGGCCTCACTTGCTTACCAAACAATTTGCCCGATAGGGCAATGGGGAAGCTGCACACAGCGTCATTTAATTGGCAGTTAAAATGAATCGAATGAAGCTTGAAAGGTTTAACGGCCTTCCACTTGTTTGCCTAACTCTAAGAATAGCACCTCGTACTTGTGTCAGTGATTGCGACGCGTTTGTTTCATTGAGAAAAATCGTGACTGTCACAGTGCTGTCGTACTGGATAGGGAGGGCGCGCTTTAACAAATAGCAACGGTGTGGGTAATCGAATAATCATTGAATATAAATTATTATGAATGGGAAATGGAACCTATGTAACTAGAGCTTCTTTATCTTACAAGCTGTTTATATGAGATGACTTGCATACGAAACACGTGAGCTTGGTCCAAACTTTTCAATTATTTTTCGTCAGATTTCAAATATGAGGAATTTTGAAGAGCATTCATTTTCATTTTATTTATTTACAATTTGCTTTGATAAACACCCAAACAACATAATGATGATACTACTAATAACCATGGGAACGCTCACAAAATATCGTTCACCTTTCACAGAACACATCTGTCTCTTCAAAAATAAAGATAAAGTTGAATTCTGGTCATGAGATTGCATGGTGAAAGAAGCGGGGTGGAGTCGATCAGAAAAAGTTGATCATTTAGCATATAAGTATTGGTGCGTAATGCAAGGTTCTGGAATCATCAACATGATATAGATTTTTGGCCCAGTCTTGGTAAAGTAACAATGTATATGGAACTACCCAATTTGTGGCCTAAAAATAACGGCCTCATTTTTAAGCTGTTACTTGTCATATTTAGAATATGAAGGCATTTGAAGAGCCATGCCTTTCAGGGAACATTTTTTTTTCTCTGATGTTCTTCTACTCTTGCATAATTATGATAACGCTCACAAATTATTTGTTCACCTCTTCCCAAAACTCAACATTCTCTCTAATACGAAGCCAGAATTCAGTCAAATTGAAGTGGACGTGGAAAGAAAACATGGCTATTAAAAGAGAAAATATGATGTTGTAACCAGGTGTGCTATGTGGTCTGGTGAAAGAATGTGCTGATAGAGCAAAGCTTTCCACTACGCCGTTCAAAAAAATAGTCGTGATTTTCAGAACCATAATCAACTTTCCTGAAGTAGAATGTCACACTCGTAGTCCCACTCGAATAACTTGATGTTACATGGCTCTTAATTTAATTTCCCAGCCTATGATAATTATTCATTTAACTCTAAATTTTTGCTAACTTTATTTTACATTTTCATTTATAAAAAGGGTAGGACCTATATGAAAAAGAGAGGGGAAGAGAGAGAGGGGGGCGTGGAGAGGGAGGAAGGGGGTACATGTACATCTAAGGTAAATGGAAAACACTCTCAAGTCGACACAAGAAATGTCCAACAGACTTGTATGTAACCTATTTTAAACTGTTTAATTTTACATTGTGTCAGGTATCACAATGAGTTGAGATATAAATTAATTATGGTTAAAAAGATTGATAATAATACATAAAACATTCCCTGGGGTCTCAGATTGAAGAAAAACGGATTCCGCTAATTTGGCTTTCATAATGAGAACACAATCACTATCGGCAACACTATCATGACAATATGGTAATATATTTACACTAGAGTTAATATCTTGAAAGTCTATGCAATCGTGTTTCATTAAAAAAAATGACAAAATAAACGGTGTTCTTTAGTATTTTTGATGAGAGACATCAATTCGACTGGAAATTATATGAAGCTATGAATAAATTGAAGATGGGGCAATGTTTATTGCCGACACACACATTTTTTCTTTGTTAATTATTTGTTTATTATTTATTTTTATTGGAGTATACCTGTTCGTTATTTTGAAATCTATTTTCAATATTTTGTCACATAGCAATTTGTTCCTTTTTTGTCCACTTTCCCGTCAAATTCCCCCCACTACCTGTTCACCTTATGTAGCCTTTGCTTGTAAAGTATATTAGTCCAACTAAGCATTTTCCGTAAGCCTTTGGTCTACTGCTTTCTTATAGCCGAAAATTTGTGTAGGCCTTTATGTTGAATGTTATTATTTATTGCCCCAATTCACGTCGCACAGATACAGCAGGCATAGTTGAGAGAGAGAGAGAGAGAGAGAGAGAGAGAGAGAGAGAGAGAGAGAGAGAGAGAGGGGGGGGGGATATTTTGGTCACTAAAAGAAACTAGCCGAGACCAGAATAATCTTGGAAAAGTGTGAAAGTTGCAAGTTTGTGGTCTAGGGGTGTAAGACTACCCCTCTTTTACGAGATGATAGGGGCCTTGAGAGTCCATTTACCTGACAGGTGAGATGGCCTTCAGTGGAAAGCCTGAGTGGCGGGCGGCGACCAGACGGTCCGGTCCGCAGGTGAGGACCCCGCTACCGGCTATCACCCCACAAGGCAGACAACATCCCCTCTTCAAAACCCTATTGCGTAATGGATTCATAGCATGCAGGCAGAGACTTCAATCTCAATCAATGACGAGGTGTTAATTATGCTTAAAGCGTTATCATTGTCATATGTTCAGCCATACTGACAGTCATGAATCAATAAATGATAACTGCGTCAGTCGGGAACCAAAAGGGTGTTAACTCCCGACACGTTAAGGCATTAACGCCCTTATGGCTCCCAACAGACGAACGATGAATTATACCCCGATCCGGAGAGCTGAAGGGCCACCAGGTCCACTTTCGAGAAATTAAAACATACAAAATAACGAAGATGATATATGGCAATAGGTATTGTTCCTTTCCTCTTGTTCAAACTCCAAACAACCCCAAATAGATTATGATCGACTTTCCACAAGCAATCATGCCGATGGAAGATTGAACGTATTAAAGAAGGCTCAACATTTGCTTTATATCTCTTCTCCACAATAATAATGAATCCTGTAATATCTTTACATCTCGCCACATTCAAGGCAAACATGGAAATAGATTTTGTACCCGTCATAACAGTTTTAACCACGGTATATATCTAATGGAAATGTAGTCATGTTTTAGTAATTCTAACGCCATTTCTTTTACAGGTCACACGTCACATTTGGTCCATAATATTTCTGATATAATGACACAGAGTTGGAGAGTTTTCAAATGATTTTCCTTTCTTCACCTTGTATATGCTCTGATATATATTCAAAATATATTCGGTTTCATCTTGAATCTTGTACGTTGAAATGTAAATTGTAAATAAAAGCCTTCCTTTGCTTTGCACCAATGGCTGCCGTATTGGTTAAGAGGACAGGTGAGCGCGATGCAGGTAAACTGATGGTATCTGCCCCCCTGACCAGTAGGTGGAATACATGAATATTACCCCCCTCCAGCAGAGTTAAGATCCCACATTAATACATACAAACATTGGGAGGTCTGCTACATTAAACAATGAAAGATTTCTTTTTATCTCGAAAGGTGGTTTATTTTGACAAGGGTTTCAACTGTATTTCCTGTGTTTTGTTAATTAATGCTGGGAGATGATGGTCCCAAGTTCCTGTAATGACAGAGGAGGGGGTGGGGAGGGGGGCTGGAGGGGGCAATTGGGATACGATGTGGTAAGAAAACGTTCGATTGAGAAGGAAGGGCTGATGTAGCAACACAAACAAGACCATACTCATTGGCACTCGTGGGAGCAAATCCACAATATTATTGAAAACCCCTCATCGATAAGCGATCGCCAGGCCTCCTTACACACTCTCTCTGAAAAGTAACCAAATTTAGATAAGAGGGAGAGGAAATAATAGGAGGTGGTTGAAAGAACAGGGGATCAAAAGAAAAACGGAAACTTTTCGAGGACATCCACTTGAGTTCGATCAATACGATGATTTGTCAATCCATTGTTCACCTATTGGTAGATCGCTTTCTTTTCACACCCCACCTTAAGCCGATTTACGTA